CTGTTGCTCTGGAGAACCCTAATACAAAATATACAATATTAACACTTATCAAAAGAAAGCTGAGGTAGCCATATTAATACTAGTATACTAAAAGCTAATATTTTAGGGCCGGCCAAGTAGCTCAGCTGGTTAAGAGCTCGCTTGGGAGCGCCAGCTCTGAGCAGCAGGGCTGCAGTTCGGATCACACATTGAGGCCAGTGACACTTGCCCTCTACAGCTAAGATAATGAACAACAGCTCCACCTGGAGCTGGGCTGCTGTGGGCTGCAGTGGGCTGCCGTGAGCTACATGAGTGGTTGGCAGCCAGCGTGAGCAGCCAGTAACTGGTGTGAACTGCCAGGAGCTGCTGTGAACGGCCGACCAATGACCAGTGACCGATTGCCTCACCCAGGAAGAGCACAATGATCATACCAACATGGACCAGTGAAGCGATATCCTCCACAACTAGACCGAAGAACAAAAACAGCAATTTGTCTACTTGTCTGTTCCCCTTCCCCAATTCCCCAACGCTGTTCCCCTCCCCCCAATTCCCCAATAAAAAACCTTAAAAAAAAAAAAGCTAATATTTTAGAATGCTTGTTGCTTCTTGCCCTTATTTATCCTATCTCACCACCCTATGATTACTGATGAAGCAACTTGGGCACAGAGTGGGTAGGTAACTTGCCCAAGGCCGTACAACTAATAAATAGTAAAGATACAATCTGAGCGTGGGAATTTGACTACATAGTCCACGCCCATAACCACCAGGCTCAGTATTTCCCTAAAAATGCATATTTAAAAAAGGTCCATAATCCCACTTCCCAGGTACATTAGTTTTTAGAGTTGTGAATTAGATATAACAAAAATGCATAATGCACATATGTGCAGTGTAAAAAAAATTATAAGCCTGTACATCACCCACGTCCGGGGGAACATACTCCCCTGCTCTCCCCACCCCATGTGATTCACCCTAATGACACTCCTCTCCCTCTCCTGTCTCTCTGAGAGGGACCCACTATCTTGACTTTTTTTTTAAACATTTTTAACTTTATTGGGGAACAGTGTGTTTTTCCCAGGACCCATCAGCTCCAAGTCAAGTTGTTGTCCTTCAATCTTAGTTGTGGAGGGCGCAGC